TATGAGGAGAATGGCCAGACTGGTTAGAGCTGATAGAAAGGCAACAGTAACTTTAATAACCACTCGTTACAACCGATGTATGCAAAAGAGCATCTTTAAACGCACAACACATCAAACCTTGAGGCGGATGGACTACAACAGCAGAAGACCACACCGGGTGCCACTGTCAGCTAAGAACAGGAAACTGAGACTACAATTGGCACAGGCTCACCAAAATTGGACAATAAAAGATGGAAAAATATTGCCTGGTCTTATGAGTTTCGATTTCTGCTGCAACATTCAAATGGTAGGGCCAGAATTTGGGGTCAACAACACGAAAGCATGAATCCATCCTGCCTTGTATCAACGGTTCAGGCTGGTGGTGGTGGTGTAATGATATGGGGAATATTTTCTTGGCGTACTTTGGGCCCATTAGTCCCAATGGAGGATTAGGTTAACATCACAGCATACCTGAGCAATGAGTAGCACAACCGCCTCACAGCATAGTTCGAGCCCCGGCTGGGCCAGTTGGCAGTTCTGTGTGGAGTTTGCATATTCTCCCTGTGTTTACGTGGATTTTCTCCGGATGCTCTTGTTTCCCCCACAAGTCCAAAGACATGCACTATACTGTGAATTGGGTAAGCCAAATTGTCCGAAGTATTTTTTTGTAAATAAGTGTGTATGGTTGTTTCCCAGTGATTCAGATTCTGCTGCATAAAACATATGCTTGATAAGTTGGCGGTTCATTCAGTTGTGGCGACCCGAGATTAATAAAGGGACTAAGCCGAAAAGAAAATGAATGAATGAATAATAAGTGCTGCAGAAATATTGTTCATTATTAGATCATGTTTGTATATACAATAACTACTAATAATGAAACTTTACTGTATAGTGGGACCCCTAAATTTTATGAAAATACTATCAGTTTGTCTGTATAGTGTTAGAAATGTCTACATGTTTATATATAGACTTATTATTGTTTATCATAAAGCATCACTACAGTAACAAGTGGAAAAAGTGCTTCACTAATGTTACACAATAACAAGTATACGTAAAACAAGCTAAACTAAATTAAGAAGCTTAAATATACATTGAAAATCCATCAGTCTATGTTTACTGGGATGAGCTACGGCCGGAAGTATCTGGATAACTTGACATGTGTCTGACGCGAGTTACATGAAGACTGCTCTCTTTTCAGCCAATCAATGAAGACCTTATGAAGGCCCATAAAGCCCTTTCTTAATGTGGAGCGACAGCTTAAGTCTCAGAGCAAACTAATCCTCCATGACAGCCTCTGATTGGTACGTTCACTAGCTGATAGATTCAAATTACACTCAGATTGACACTGCAAAAGCCAGTTTTAAAATGCTGCTTGGAAGGAGTCTTTACCAGATCTGAACTTAGTCACACTTGTTTACGATATAATCACACTATGTTCTAATTTATTGAGATTCTAATACATTCCCTCTTTTATTTACATTAGATCTGGATATATTCACTCTCGATTCTAATTTAATCACTCTAGATTACAATTGATTTACACTGGGTTCAATGTAATTCAAACTAGACTGGTTAATTCACTCAAGTTTTGAATTTATTTACACTAGATATATATTTTCTTTGCTCTTTAGATCCTTGTTTTTTCACTCTAGATCACAGATGTCAAATCCAGTTCTTGGAGGGCTGCAGCTCTGCAGTTTAGTTCCAACTGTGCTTCAACACACTAACGGCGAGGTCACACTGGACTTCTCTCCCCATAGACTTCCATTCATAAGCACTTGAATGCGTCAGACCAGAAACGCAAGCTCGTGCGACAGGTTTGCAGTTCGCTGCGAAAAGTTCAAGCTTGGTGAACTTTGACCTGTGAAATTGCATCGTATGATTGCATGAGACCAATCAAAGATCAAAACATTACCTCTCTGGACAGCAATTTAAACATTGTTCGCTTTTTTAAATGTCTAATCATTCAGTTTAATCCCGCCCCTTTTCGCAACGCCGCACTTTAAATTTCGCACACACAAACTCTAGTGTGACTGTGACATTAAGCTGCGCTCACACTGGGCTTTTCCTCCCATAGACTCCCATTCATACGCATGCAAATATGTCAGACCAGAAATGCAGGGTCAGATTCTAATATATTTACTGTAAGTTTTTAACTATTCACACTAGATTTTAATTTATTTACACTAGATTTAAATTTTTTTTTACTCTAGATCAGGACTGTTTAACCCTGCTCCTGTAGATCTACCTTCTTGCAAAGTTCCATTCATCCTAATCAAACACACTTGAACCAATTAAGCTGTGGTGAGTTTGAGCATGCAAAATGCTGTCGTACAACGCTGCGATAAGGGGCGGGATTAAACAAGATGATTGGTGATTAAAAAAGCGAGCAATTGCTCCATGTTTTAAATTTGTGTCCAGAGAGGTCATGTTATGATCCTTCATTGGTCTTACGCAGTCCAGTGATGCGATTTTGCAGGTCAGAGTTCACCAAGCTTGAACTTTGCAACGCAGCAAACTGCGAAACTTGTAGCACGAGCTTGCGTTTCTGGTCTGACACATTTGCGTGCGTATGAATGAAAGTTTATGGGGAGAAAAGTGCAGTCTCAGATTCTATTATTTTCCTCAATTCGCATTAAGAGACAGTGTGTCAATCTGACAACAGATTCTAATTTATTCACTTTAGATTTAAGATTCTAATTCATTCAAGTTGGATTAAAATATAACACTAGATTCTACCTACCTGTAGATGCTAATTTAAACACTATAAATTCTAATTCATTCACATTATAGCAGTGAGTCTAAATCTGACAGATTTTAACATATTTACTCTAGATTCAAGATATAATTAATTTATACTAAATTATTATATGTACACTCTAGATTTTAAATTCAAATGTATTCAAACAACATTCTAATTCAATTACTCTAGATTCTAACTTATTCACATTAGGAGAAAGTCAATCTGACAGCAGACCTCTAGATCCTAATTTAAACACTATAAATTCTAATTCATTTACATTATGGGAGTGATTCTCAATCTGACAAATTTTAATTTATTCATTTTAGATTGAATATATAATTGACTCACTATCGATTCTAATATGTTCACTCTAGATTTTACATTCTAACTTATTCACATTAGCAGAGCGAGGGTCAATCTGATTCTAATTTATTTACTGATTCTAATTTTATTTATATAATGATTCTGATTTCGAATTTATTTAACCTAGATTTAACATTCTAAATCATTCACATTAGACTCTAAAATGTTCTAAAAAATTTTTATTCAAATTTATTTACACTACATTCTAATTTATTTACTCTAGATTCAAGATTCTATGTCATTCACATTAGATTGTCATTTATTGACATCAAGAGAAAGTGTTTCGGGTATTCTGCACCTCATCCGTGTGCTTCAACAATACAGGCGCGCAAAGGGAAAAGCCCTCAGTCACAGATGCGTCCCTGCTCTCGCCGAGTTTGGCCTGCTGATAGAGATTATAATACTAAACATGAAATTGTCTTACATAACACATTGTAGTTTCACTACAGATGATTTAGTGTCCATCCAGAGAGGAGCAGCTCTTGCGTAAGCGGCTCTGACCTCATGAGATTTACCCATCAGCCCTCAACGCTGAAGCAAAGGTATCCCCTGGGATTAATGCTGGTGCTTTAACCCGCAGCGAAACACTTCCACTGCGCAGGCATTAAAACCCTGACAACACACACCAGCCGCTCACATCACTTACATGATATCAGCAGCAGGACGGAGGCGGGGTCATCGACTTCCTGTGACGACAAAACAGTTAATTGTTCCTTGCAAGCAAATACTACTTAAGTGCAAATAGCCCGGAAAGTGAAAAGTGTTTAAGAGGGAGGAATGAACATACTGTAAAGACTCTTTTTCACAACAAGAATGTGAGAGAGAGAATTAATTCTATAGTAAAAGACAAAGAAGGAGACTTTTTTTGGTTTTTGAATAAAAGCATTTTCATTTAACAAAATAAATATATAAATATTCATCAAAATTAGTACACAATGTTTATGCATGAAATGTAGACAATCTGGCCATGGTTTATGCCAGTGATTCTCAGCTTTTTCTTTTTTATAAAGATAAGATATTTTGTCTTATTTCCTAGATTTTAAACTTATAGAGAAGAAAATGTGTCATTTATTTTATTAAAATTAGTATAGTCTGTCATACTATAATATTAATATTAAAATAAAAAAATAGTAATAATTATTATACAAATTATTTGAATTAATTATTAGGATCCTAGGCCCTTGATTGAATCAACATAGACTCATTCTGAAAATGTAGCCCTATATTCCTTTCTGGAGATCACCAATTATGTAGCCAGAATTACGTATGGCTGCATTTCATCTTTAAAATGAATGCTACGGTTGGTATGATGTTGTTTGTTTTCTTGCTTACCAGCTGACCGATTAACACTGAATGGAAGGCTTTCCCGCTGTTACCAGTTTGTCCGGTAGCTCGACATGTACGTCGGCGGACTTGAGACGCAGACACAATGACGGGGTTTGAGTGGTGAAGAACGGTTCCAGAAAGCAGGTAGACAAAAGCCAAAAAATAAAATAAACAAGTAAATAACAGGATGAAAATGTGGTAATATCTGAAAACGTGGTAAAAACCAGGCTGCCGTAGGGGCTTTTCTTTATCTGAATTGATTTTGAAAACACTGGTTGGGTTTAGGGAAGTGGGTGGCCGGGTCAATCTGTGCTTTTTAAAACACTATTGGTTGGGTTTAAGGAAGGGGAGGGGAGGGGAGGGTTTGGGGTCAGTTGGTCAGTCAGTCAGTCGACAGTGGCCAGAAATGTATACAGGGGCATGTAATCAAAATGAGGCTGGGTTGGGAAGCATATATGTAAAAATGAACAAAACAAACAAAAAACTAAAAATGCTTGCTTGTTAAAGTTGCTAACACTAAAATAACAGCTTTAAGAACATTTTAAAAAATCAGAACATCAAATCAGACCAAAAACCACCTGCAGGATTAATACAGAACTTGTTTTATAATCAATATAAAAGTTAATTTAGGTTTTGTGCCCTGCATTGGTAAAATGTGACTTGGAAAAAGGCTTTACATCAAAAATTGTGATTGTTAAAATTTAAACATTTTTTGTAATTAAACTGACTAAAATAGCTAGCTTGCTAGATATAGCCAGCTAGTAAGACATACAGTGCTCAGCATAATTGCGTACACCCTATTTTGAAAATGAATATTTTTATCCATTTCTTAGTGAATATGGGTAATATATATTGGTGCATCTGAACAAAACAGAATTAATAAACAGATATATTTATTAAAATTATATTTTAGTCACCAAAAAAAAAAAAAAATTGAAAGATAATACAATTAAATTCAAGCAAAAAATTGCAAAATAAAATTACAACCTACAAAATGTCAACTAAATTTTTCAGTTTTTTGCTTCTCTCGATTTTTTCTCTATTTAAAATTTGTATCTAATATTTTTTCAAGCATATAAATTTGGGTGTACTAGTTTTTAGACCGTTATCATAGGTTATGTTAGATTAGCTCCAGATTTGGCTTCAGTACTGACTAATCTAATGTATATACACAAATATAATATTGTAGAGCTTAGATAGATCTGTGAGGGGTGTACTTATATATGCTGAGCACTGTATATTATATAAGATAAGATATATATTATTATTTTCTATTATCTTTTCATTATATATATATATATATAAGCTAGTTAAATAATATTTTCCAATAGTAACAGAGAAGCAATGCTTTTTTAAGTCATTTTGGTTTGCAGAAGAGCAATATATTGCCCTAATACTGTAAAGTTGCTGAAAAAAATGTCAAACTGAAGAGCCATCAATAATAATAATAAAAAAAGAAAAGAAATACATTTTTAATTTTAAAAAATAAAAAAACTAAACTTTTTTTTTTTGTTTAAGAGAATAAATAAATGGACTTATTTTGCAACGTATACAATGAGTAATTGTGCCCTACTGTAAATGCATCTTTTGTGGGAAACGATATCACAACTAATTAAATAATTTTTAGTAAAAAATATCAGAAATAAAAAAAAAGTATTTCGCAAAACAGCTAAAATATAAACAGCTACTGTAAGTAAGCAGCAGAAGATTTTTAACGCATAACGCAGTCTGTATAGTCATTCTGGATTGCCGAAGAGCAGTAAACGATGCTGATGAAGACGAGCAAAGTCTGACTGAATCTTCGCCTCTGGAATCTCAGGCTGGATTGTGTTCAATGCTCTTCAATGGGGAAGCACCTGAGTCCCGTTTGGCACAGTCTGCCTGCTCCACCTCCTCTGGCTCAGAAGCTTCCGGCTCCTCTGCACTTTCAATCGCACATCAAACACCTCCTCTATGGCTTTCTTGAAACAGTGAAAATTGTAGTCGATAAGTCCTGCGTGAGCAAAGACAAGAGTAATTAGCCTTCAGTAGGATAGGATCGCTCGTCCCTTTCCCAGAATGGATCACTGCATAAATGCACTTTGAATTAAGACCGTGACACACATAAAAAGAGATGTCATTTAGCTTTGATCCAGTGAAAGACAAAATAAATCATTTAATAACACCTACATGGAGATACTAAGACATGCGGTTCTGCTTGGCAGGTGACAACTGAGTCTATATGAAGTCACACATTATAACACACATTCTGTTTGAATAGAAATATAAAGCATGTTTCCTGGTTTTTTTACATACTGTATTAGAGTATTAGATCTATAAAAAGCGTATTATTATGCAGATATCACCATTGTGTATTGTGAAATATTCTGTGCAGTTGAGATAGCAAAAGTAGATAATTTATAAACATTACATTTTATTTGTATGAAGTTATTTCGTCATCATTCAAAATGTGAAGTGATTTAGGTTTGGCTTTACCACATGAATAGAACAGTGTTTTATGAGATAAAAAAGGCAGTCGAATTCTTATCCTGGTAATTAATTCAAGCTGCAGTACTGAACTGATTCTCCACATTATACACTCTGAGAAATAAAGGTACAAAATCTGTCACGGCAGCGGTACCTTCCCAAAAGGAAATTTTTTTTTTCCTGACAGGTCCTTAAAGGGTCACGAAACACCAAAACAGATTTTTTGAAACGTTGACAGTCATATATATGTCCCGTAAACACTATTATGAACACATATGTTTCACTAAAAAGTGAAAATTGTTTGTTTTTTGTGTTATTTTGAGCCAATTCAAAATATTTTAAGCTGCGTCACGGCGATGAGATCCTGGTGTAAAATCCAGCATGGAGACTGGCTGTCTGTACCCACCGGTACAACATGACATCTTTGAGTTTTCATAATTAATTCATGAGAAAGACTTTGTCCGGAAAAATCAGCGCGCTCTATTGTGAATGAGGCACAACTTAATTAATATGCATGATATAGCTTTGCCTACACAAGTGCTCAGACGGAAGAGAGACAGCACGTTGTGTTACGTTACATTCATAAATGTGCCGGATTTTGTTTCCATTTTCCTGGTATAAAGGGGACCACTCTGAAGATTACAGTGGTCTGCTAACACGTAACAAAAATATATTTGTAAGAAACATTTTTTACCCTAGAGCTTTTCGCATCTGGAAATGGTAAAATCCGGATTTGCTGCTCGTCTCCTTTTACAAAAGACGCGGCTCAAGTTTGTGTTGATTGCCCTATCTCTACAGATTTGGTAAATGTGTGATCAGTGTACTTTGTTTATGTTTATTTACATGGCAAAGATAATTAGTATCGTCAGCAGTACTTCTTCAATTTTTAAAGACATACCTTAGAATGATTTAGTTACTAAGTTTACAGTACGTTAATATCGCTACAATATTATGGACTGTAAGATCGCTGTAAATGCTCTCGGAATGTAAACTAGTAAACACCTCAATCAATTACCGTTGTGTAGGATTTTTGCTGCTTATGATTTTTGCTGCATTTTGTGACAGTCTAGTCTATACACACAGCTGTTTGATGTTATTGTTTGCACCTAAACATACTAATCTTCCCCTGTACTGTACATAAGTGTACCTTTAGAAAAGATACCACTCCAGTGACAGATTTTGTACCTTTATTTCCGAGTGTGTATTAATCTCCTGTGCATTTATTTTTTGTGGGAGTTATTTTAGAATATTCTAGAAACCTAGAAAGAAGACCATCTTTTTATGCAATGGCTGAATACTCTTCCCTTTGGTCTTCATATGAACAACCTGCTGTCGGAGAGTTTCAGTGACTTTAGAACTTTGAGAAATAATTAAAGAAAACTGAAAAGTATCTCATTTACATTTTTTATCCTGCGCTTCAGAATATATGAAACTCATTAAATATGCTTCAAAACATCTCTTTTACTTCTGTTAGGATGACTTCAAATAGGACTAGTGACCTCAAATTTAAGAAATTGTAAGATGGTCCCTTAAAGGAACACTCCACATTTTTGAAAATGGGCTGATTTTACAAATCCCCTAGAGTTACAGTTTAGATTCACCATTTTTTAAACACATTCAGTCGATCCATGGCCTGGTGGGGACACTTTTATCTTAGCTTAGCATAGATCATTGAATCTGAATTGATCATTAGGATCTCACTCAAAAATGAACAAAGAGTTTCAATAATTTCTCCATTTAAAGCTCGACTCTTCTGTAGTTACATCTTGTACTAAAGACCGACATAAAAAAGGTTGATATTTTCTAGGCCAATATGACTAGGAACTATGAGCTTCCAGTGTAATAGAACTTTGAATTAGAGTAGACTATTAGCCTTTCACTCAAAAAAGGAACAAAGAGTTTCAGTTATTTCTCCATTTTAAGCTTGAAAAAAAAAGTTGATATTTTATAGGCTAATATGGCTAGGAATTATGAGCTAATTCCAGTGTAATAATCAAGGAACTTTACTGTCATTCTATGGAGCAATGATATTACACTGAAAATGCCTGAAAACAATCCCCAGCTAGGTAGCATCCAATGTGAATACCTACTTGCAAGCAAAGTAGGCAGCAAAGTTCCTTGTTTATTACTCCAGAATAAGAGAATTAGCCTCATTGCCCTAGAAAATACCACCTGTTTAGTTTCTGATGGTCTTAATACATATTGTACCTAAAGAAGAGTCAAACTTTAAGTCATTGAAACTCCTTTTTGAACGAAATGCTAATGGTCTAAAGCAGGGGTACCCAAACTCCTGGAGGGCCGGTGTGCTCCATATTAGCTCTAACTTCCTTCAACACCAGCTCGGAAGTTTCTAGTATACCCAGAAAGAGCTTAATTAGCAAGTTCAGGTGTCTTTAATTGGGGTTGGAAATAAATTATGCAGGATACCGGCCTTCCAGGATCGAGTTTGGGCAACACTGGCCTAAAGCACTTTAATGATCTATGCTAAGCTAAAAACTAAAAGCGCTCCTGCCAGGGCTGGAGATCAGCTAAATGGATTCAAAAATGATTAAGAGGGACTTTTAAAATGAGTCTAGTTTCCAAAAAAATTAAGTGCTCCTTTAAGATTGATCTTCATTGTAATGTTGCTACTGTACTATAATTGTAAGTGTAAGGGAGTGACACAAACAACTGAGTTTGGATCCAAATGCTGGTTTAATCAGTGGTCAGGTGAGCAAAGGTCAATACAGGTGCAAACAGACATATGCAGACAGTCCAGAATCGTAGTCGAACTAACAGGTAAGAGGTCAGAAGGTAGGCGGCTAAACAGGAGAACTAGATAAACAAGGCTAAGATAGGTACACGGGAAAACAGGGCTAGGATACCGCGTTGTAATGTCACTGTGGCAGATAACAAGACACGCCAATGTGAATGAGTGAGTGTGTTGCTTAAATAGTGTGTGCAATCAGTCTCTGACAATCCTCACGTGGTGCGAGTGTAATCAGTCAAGATGAGGAAGCATGAGTGAGTGTGAGCGGAGTGCATGTATAAAAATGTAGTCCAGAAATGGAAGAATTGTAGTCCATGGTTATTGTGAATGAAGTCCAGCGATCTTATGGAGTACGATCGCTGGTTATCGAGACAATAATATGTCTCTTACATTTGTGCACCTCACAAAAGCAGTTTAATGATAGAGAAAAGAGATAACTACCTAACTCATAATAATTATGTGAAATTTAATTACTACAACCCTATCTTCTCATCATAAATAGCATCAAAAGTGTAAAAAGTTGGCCAGATTTATACACAAAATGACCACCAAGCTTAGATTTGAGATGGCACCTTTATCGTTTAGCTCAGCTGTCAGGAATGGAAAGCACAGGATTGTGGCGTGTCAAAGGCAGTGAAGGATACATCTGTGCTGCCTTCAAAAATCAATCAGATGAAGGTCTCTCAGGAGAAAGAAAGTGAAGCTGGATTAGGATTCGGACATGCCTTGATGCCTTTCTCTACTATGGAATATAACCTTGAATTTTCATTTTTCAGATGCAGCCATTGTCTCCCAAAAGAAAGTAGTGTTTCTGCATTCTCAGAAATAAAATGTACAAAAGCTGTCACTGGGGCACCAGCTATCCAAAATATTCATATTGGTATCTTAAAGGTATGTACTGTATTAGCACCTAAAATGTACCACCCCACTGAGAGCTCTCATACTTTTATCTCTGAAAGCGTGAACTGTCAGTGAGCCTGTTGAAAATCGCTTGAAATATATGACGATTCAAATCAGATGGGATGTTAAACGAGTCGAGATACATGTTTTGAATGGCAGGAACCGCTTTGTTTACTGCAAACTCACTTAACATGGACAATAGGGATAAGCAAGTTGAAACAGACTGTTTAAAGCAGTGATGAGTATGGATGTTGACATTAAAGGTGCCTTATAAATAAAATATGGGTATATATATAGGGCATAGTCGAATATGAGAGATTAGTGTATGGATATGGCCATACCGTGAGCCTTAGATACCATTGTAATTTCCTTCTCATGTATATTCCATGAGTGTAAAACCCCGGTGGACAAAAGTACAATCAGAACACAAAGCAGACTGTTACGTGACTCACCTTCTGATTCTATGTATTTTATGAGAAAATACATATCTAAGCCATATCAGAGAACAATCTATCATATTAAACCAAAGCAGTATATGGCACCTTAAAGGAATCCTCATTCAAAAGAGTGCCAGCCACATATAAGGCAGTATGTCATACAAATTTATGTTTTATATTACTGTTATTCATTTAATATGATTAAATTCACTTGAAAAAAACTGGAAAAGATGTGTTGGAGATCTGTGCATGTCTGCATGCTTTCTTTTCTCTTAAATTGATATGATAAAACCAGCAACAGCATTCCTGTTCATATCACTGTTAACAAGCACTGAGGAAGAGCTGAAATTTAGATATAATATTGAGCGTTAAGTTTCTGCCACCCATTGTAAGTGGTATCAATCAGAAAAGGCTGGGCCATCTGACCAATCAGAGCAGAGTAGAGTAGACTCTCAGAAATGCGGAGTTTTAGAGTGACTGGATCTTTGAACCAGATGTTTCAGACACTGAAAGAAATCAGCTGATGATGCATTGTATATTTTAAGAAGATTAAAGACCTTGGATGAATGTGAACCTAGGATACATTCAAAACAAAATTAGCAATCTTTAAATCATCACAAGGTAGGCACTTTAAGAAAAATGCATGCATTTACAGTAAATAAGGATGTTTGCTGATTGTTCAGACTACTTATTTACAATGAGCTGAAACAACACAATTCTTGAGGGTATTTTGGTACAACTTTAGTGTTTTATGTTCAATCCACTTAAATTTGTAAAAACTAATAAGTTACAGTAACTTAATTTCTTCATGTTCTCTTAGGACAAAATTAGTGTGTGGAACCCAGTAGTTTGTACAGTGTGTGGTATATTACTGAATGGAACAGATCATGTAAGTTATGTCATCCAAGATCCTACGCCAATGCAAGATGCCTTGTTTTCCCCACTGACGAACATGATTGCTCTTGATACTCTCTCTAACCCCCTTAGTAATTCTCAGCATGAATATTTCAATCTTCATTAGCCTCCCAAGGATTCCTCTAATTATCCCATTCTCTCATGTGAGTGCAGCTCACACCAGCAGGTTCTTTTTTTTGACTGATTCAAGACCAAATTACTGAAGCTGTAATCGCTAAAAACAGCTTACAGCAAAAGCTGATTTTTAGGTCTTTATTGTTGTCCCTATTGAATCTATATGTGCGTCATGAGGATTGCAAGTGGGAATTGTTAATAAACATGATGCTGCATGCTGGTTTTCTTTTTAGCTTGTTCTTGTGAAACTGCAGCTAGTGCACTTCAAGATTAAAGAGTGAGATCAGATAAAACATTGCAAACAACTTATAAGAAAGTGGCTTTCATCCATACTATCTGTAAAAAGGCATAACTTAGTATTGGTTACAAACAGAAATTGCACAAAACATTAAAAAGCTATTAATAATAAATCAAATATCAACGTCTTACATTCCAGTACTGTATGATTTTTTTTTTTTAGATGTATTTTATTTGCTGTGGTGGTAAAGCTGAATTGTCTGCACTTTCACATGATCTTTCAGAAATGAATCTTAATATTCTTAGGTTCAAAAACATTTCTTATTATCAATGCTGTGCCATATATGTTATAAAGTTCTGTTAAAACACTTTTAAGGATGCCATCTGAATAATTGTTGTGCTTTAAGTTTGGACTATAGAATACACAAGACATGTCACTTGTATAGTTTTGAATGGGGAAAAATGTAATGGTCAACATGGCGAATAAAGCCCCGCCTACTAGTACAAGAAACAATCATGAATCAATATCGACTGATGTTTCTCAGAGGAGAAGCATGGACTAGACGTGTGCTTTCACGACAGTTTTTGTGGTCAACAAAAAAACTGCAATCTCAGCGAATACTTGCTTCACAGACATAATAAATATGTTGGGTGGACAAAAGTGAAGTGAACAGCGTGGGACGGGGCTGAAGGGGGGGGCGTGGGCCCCTAATAATAATGAGTGCCCTATGCCCTAAAATGTGGGGGCCCTTAGAATCGTCTTAACTAATCCAAGAAAATCATGGCTTCCACTATTACCTGTAAACTGATAGCAAAGCGGCTAACGTTGGTGACATTTATTTTTATTTGTACATGGCCTGTTTGGATGGCTCTAATGTGCCACTACACAAAATTCCAGCTTCAGAAAAGGCAATAGCGAAATTGTTTAGTTTTATATATGAAGGGAATATGACAAAAGTGAGCAAAAACTTGTGTGTATAAAACATGTTTTGCCAGGCTTTAGATCAGGCGACAAAGCTGGATTCACATCAGAATTGCATTTAAAGGATGTAGCTGTACCTACAATAGTTTTCTGAAAGAAGTAAATAATGCTTTGTATGTAACTTATATTTGTTTCTCCGGGTGTTAGCGTGGGTTTCCTCTGGGTGCTCCGGTTTACCCTAAACGTCCAAAGTCCAAAGACATGCGCTGTAGGTGAATTGGGTAAGCTAAATTGTCTGTAGTGTATGTGTGTGAAAGAGTGTTTATGAATGTTTTCCAGTGATGGGTTGCAGCTGGAAGGGCATTTGCTGCATAAAACATATGCTTGATAAGTTGGCGGTTCATTCTGCTGTGGCATCCCCAGATTAATATAGGGACTAAGCCGAAAAGAAAATGAATGAATGATTATATTTGTTTTGTTTGGTTACAGTTAGCAAATGGTAGCTTAGCTCAGAAACTGCAGCTGACTGTTTGTTAAATAGAACAGTGACACTTTTTATATGTATAGATGTTTTTTGAATACATTTTACATTGATAATAGTGGGCTGCAATGTCATGTCAAGCTATGATTCATTCTGCACAATGATTATGCACACGGGAGATGACCCAGTGCATTATTTTCTTTGTGTTTTATATGTATAAACACTCAGACTGTACACATTGGTTAAGCTTATAGGAGACTTTCAGTGTCGGGTGAATGAACGACTCAAATTTGAAGACATGCTAGTGGAGGTGGGCAGAGCTGATCATACTGTAGATAAACACCAGGGAAACAATGAAGGATAATTTTCTCTTTTATAGTAGCATTGCATTGTATAGTAGCATTGTAGTTATGACTTGTTTGTAGTGTGATCAACAATTGGGCTAGTTGTAGATGTGTTTGGATGCAGGGACGTAGCTAGACATAAAGCTCTACTTGGGCACAGCACCCCCTCAAAAAAAAAAAAAAAATTAATAATAATAATTATATATATATATATATATATATATATATATATATATATATATATATATATATATATAATTTCTAAAAGAAAAAATATTCAATATATTGTTATTATACAACTATTATTCTAAATAAATAACAGAAAATAATCCTAAATGTAACTGGAAAACAATGTAAAGACACAACTGGAGTGAAGCTAAGATAATTGAATCTTTAAGATAAGAAATCTTTAGCATGAATATTAATTTATAACAATGAAGTTTTCTTCAATGAACAGTTCAAAAAATGTTTTATAGAATTATCTGTTGTGTGTTGTCTTAGACCCAACTCAAGGCAGGGAATGTTTTTTTCTGCGCACACGCTCAGTTTGCTTTTTGATTTAACTAAATTGCTTTCATCAGCGTTGGTTTGGTTGCACATAGAGAATAACGACTTTATTCGGGGATTATCCCTCTTAATGAATACACTTGCATATAAAGTAAATCGTATCTCAAAGCATTTACTAGGGCACTGGCGATTTTTACTGGGGCACGAGCCCCAGTAAATGGGGTCTAGTTTGGACGCATCCGGTAACATTTTAATGTTATTTTGGCAAATTGAGCGAATTGAATGAAATGACTCGAGAAAGGATTTGTTCATCTCAATGAACGAGACTCAAAGGTTCAAGCCAGTAAAATGATCCAAACTTCCCATCACTATAGTGTAATAGCTTTTACTTTATTTTACTTTAAGTTGCATGCATTCTGGCTCAAAACAAATTTTAATAAAAAAGCATTTGCAATCCTTTAACTTTCCAACAGTAGTACATAAAATAATAAATAAAATATTTTTAAAAGCGTCTTCTGACTTCTAACTTCTAAATCTCTGTATTACTGACACTCAAAGTAGCTTATGTTACTACATCTCAATCTGACAAAAAAGCCACAGTATCCTGTAAATGGAACATGCAATATTCAAGCCAAACAAATAAAAATAAGTCCAGCAAGCTCACCTTTTTTCTCAAAACTCTCTTCCCTTAGGAAACACACTAGGGCAAGAAATTTCGTGACCTCTTTTAGGTACATGACCGTTGTGTTGTTTAAGTGGATTATGGCCATTGATTCTTTATCATATGGGGTTCCTCCTTCATCTCCAGACAACCTACATGAAAAAGAAAACCAAAATCACAACCATGTGTTTTTGTTGTTGCAGTTGTCCTTCAGTTTGTATTGTAAACGCACATAATGAATGTGTCCCTGAAGCACGGCTTTCCGTGAGAAAGCAGAGTGCCATGTATTACTGTTCCATCAGGAAGACACTTTCCCAGTTCAGCTTAAGAACAGACTGCATCCAGATGAAAAAAAAAATCTTGAAATTTTGCACTGTGGAACAGATGTTGATTCATATCATAATTATCAAAATGAGCAGATGCCCTGTCATAATCCCTCCGCTTTTATAACCAAACAAATTGATGCTATTATGCATGGATATTACAAATATATAAATATTTTTGCACAAAAAAGGAGGCACGGAAAAGATGATGAATAAATTGAGATGGCATAATAAAGCGTGTAATTTGAAGCTTCCTGATACCAAGAACACGGATCAATGTGAGCATGATGAATAGGAAACAAATAAATGACTTATTAATTTCAATGAGCAACAAACAAGACTTGCGGAAATTAATTCCCCAGCTCGTCTAATGTACAAATACAAATACTTTAAATTAGTGCACAAGCAGGCATGCCAAAATGGGTCAAACTAAACATGACCATCTTGAGATTTAGGCAACATCTCCATCATTCCGGATGCAGTTGAAAATGGAGTTTTGTTTAAAAAAACTGTCATGTGTTTTCCAAAAGTTTCTCATTTACACCGAAATGTCTGAAATAATCTTATTCCTCAAGCATAAAACATGATAAAAGCACAAAAAGGTGATATAGAGGCCAGACTATAGGCATGCTATACTTTCTTCTGAAATTTTAGCAAAATACTGTATATCACAGTGTACTTGTACATCCAGGCGACACATAGTCAACGTTAAGTGTTTGGTCTAAAATTCAAATAACTTTGTTAAAGAATAGCAATCTTGTAAAGTAAATAATACTTAAGTAAATGTTAAAAATAGTTTACTCTGATAAGAAAATAAGTATACTTATCAAACAGTTTTTTATAATAGGTCATGTGGTACTTTAATCAAGCAAATCTTGAAAATTGCTTAAATGTAGCCCAATTTATTCCTTTTGTATACATTCGGTTTTGTTTTTGTCTACAGGAGCACTACAGAACCGTAATGCATTTGTAAAGAATTCACATTTAAATTATCATCTTCTGTGGTTTCATGTGGTTAGACAATGAATTGGCTCATTCAAACTGACAGCACCTGAACATTTTGGACTTTTATTCATTTTCTTCATTCATTTTCTTGTCAGCTTAGTCCCTTTATTAATCCAGGGTCGCCACAGCGGAATGAACCGCCAACTTATCCAGCAAGTTTTTACGCAGTGGATGCCCTTCCAGCCGCAACCCATCTCTGGGAAGCATTCACACACACATTCACACACACACTCATACACTACGGACAATTTTAGCCTACCCAATTTACTTGTACCGCATGTCTTTGGACTGTGGGGGAAACCGGAGCACCCGGAGGAAACCCACACGAAGGCAGGGAGAACATGCAAACTCCACACAGAAACGCCAACTGAGCCGAGGTTCGAACCAGCGACCTTCTTGCTGTGAGGCGAGAGCACTACCTACTGCGCCACTGCCTCGCCCCACGTTGAGAGCATGAGATGCTCTTAAGGTGCTTGTCATTGCTCTCAAAAAATAAATAAATAAACATGTGAAATCGATGCCCTAAGGCTATAATTAAAATTTTATGGATAAAAGTAAATAATAATGCAAAAAATAAATAATCAGTATTCAAGTATTCGATTATTCAAATTTATAAATTTTTTGAGCGACCACCTTTAAAAAGCTCTATTGAAGCTCCGTGAGTGACAGAAAGAAAGAGCAAAATGGCAGCACCATACCATTCATTTACAGATGAGCCCCATTCGGATGGGACTAATTTTCCAAACATTTGAGTTAAAAGCATAGACTGTAAAAGATATGGACGTAGTATCTGTGCCGTCACCCTCAGGTCTCTGAAGAAAAAGAAGATATAAGTAGCCGTGGCCAACCATCGCCATTTCGGTCGCACGTCATCGCATTGACCGGGGGATACCAAACAAGGGCAAAGAGGTGGCGCGTCAGTGGAGCTACAAACGCCTGCTTGCATTTTGCTTAGATGGGCTTTTCTTTGGGAGAAACGCTTAATAGTTCATTACCTGCGACTCGTTTGTATTCTGACCACATGTGCTTGGTTGTACACTATATCAATAAAGTGTTGAGACTTTTAAAAACACTGTTGTAATACACTGAGCCACTAAACATTGATATGATGTTTTTCTACAGGAGGAAAACGCAAATGACTTCCAAACACTTTTAAATAAAGTCTGTGTTAGTGAATACAAAGCTATTTATGAAATCCAGGCATAAAACTGAATGACAGTGTTTCAGATGACAGTTCTAGAGCCTACAGCTAATACATCTGTCAGATTCTGGAGTTCATTACAGCTCTAAAGAAAAGTATAAATCATAAACGATCTTAAATAAAACAAATTCATTTAAAGAGATTGTATATAAGTATATAATTTCACTCACCTGGGAAATAGAGGCAACTTTAACGGTTTGTGAGCACAATTAAGTGCTCACAGCATGCCATATCATCTGATAATTGAAAGAAATAATTCCAAAAAGCAACTGACTGTGTAAAGCCACATAAAACAATATAAAAACAAAAATACGACGTATATGCCGAGTTCAGCAGCTAATCAGCTGGAATGCTGGAACCAGCGAGACCTAGCTGTCACTCAAGTGGCCATGCTCTTAATTATGCAGACTTAATATAACTTAACATAAATTAAATGGATGAGTTATAAAAAAACATCCACCCCCTCACAGTTATCATAAAGGGTAATATTAGCTATATAATTCAAAATTGTTCTTTGTACCAGGCTGTAAACACCTTTTTTCTGCTTTAAACTTGGCCATTTTAACAGCAATCTGCTTTAGGAGCCAGGGCTAGCGGAATTTCACTTAATTGCAGTTTCAGTTACTTCCGTATTTGCTTCACGAGGGAGAGCAGGAGGTTGCCACTTGGTTAGAAGTCTTATTAGCCTATAGGAGTGTCAGTTTTATAAGTGACGTTTAAAGAAGATCATACATTTTTTAAGATATTATTTTGTGTGCTTTTGCCTTTATTATTTTAGTACACTTTTAGACAGGAAACAAAGTTAGAGATAGAAGGGGGATGGGTTCGGGAAAGGTCCATAAGCAGGGACTCTGGACTAACTTGGGAAACCTGAAATGTAACTAAATGTACTTCCAACGAGTCTATACGTCGTTCTTGTGTTTTTGTGCTGTACAACATAAACATACATTTTAGCTAATTAAGGTAACTTAAAAAGAACCAGTGAACACAATTATGTGATCAAATGTATATTTAAGTACTTCTACTTTTAAACACTTTGAAACAAAGGAATACATCCTGAATTATTTAGTGATCTGTAAACATGAAATTAAAATGGCAAAAAATATATATTCATTTTCAACAGGATTTCTGCAAGTCAAATGTAAGATTTTTAAGACATTTTCAATACCATGAAGAATGAAATTTCAGCTGTATATATAGGGCTAAACTTTAAAGATATTTTTAAAGGCCCAGTAAAAAAAAAATGTACTTACCCCATCAAAAACTATTTTTATTTGGTTATTTCTTAGCTACATATTTTAAAAAATGTGTCAAAACAAGCAGACCCTAGTTTTATACATACCTTTTTTGCAACACAACCTAAAAACGATCTTTAAAAACTACACGCATGCACAATAGACTGCTATAATATTAGTTATGAATATAGTTTTGCTAAAAGTATGTATTGTTAGTGACTGGATGTATGTTGGATCGATTGGGTAGCTTTACATAAACAAAAATTAAAAATTAAGACCCGTTTAAAATGATTTAAGACCTAAAGGACAATGTTTCAGTAAATGTAAGACTTTTTAAGGCCTAAAATTTAGTTTTTGAAATTTAAGACATTTTAAGACCTCGCAGATACCCTGTTTCAAAATAGGGTGTACTCATACATAAAACATGGTTTACAGAACTGGGTAAATATACTCTTACACTATTTACACTTGGCTTGTCTTATTTAATAGTTATTTTTTATCTCGTCACAGGCTACCAAACACATCTACATGTACATCTATTATTGGTGTGCAGAAAGTATAAACTTGTATACAGTTGGCCTAGCGAGACACAAGTTAACATTGACCAACACACATTTCAGTAATCATAAATATTTGCATTCAGACAGGATTAGATTTCTCAGAGGGCCGTCGTATTTCCAGAAAAAAACACAGGTAATTTACTCTTACAGAGGTTGAGTGTGAAACAGAGATGGCAGATTCAGATGGGACATTTGGATGGGATTAAAAAAAAACAAAAGTACTGTACGATTGTGATGCAGAAATCTGTATCTGTACAACCAGTGCCGTCTGAATAGGGCTTATGGCTATCACAGGGCTAACTGTCCTGCCAGCTCTGCTATTCGTCTGCGAGTGCTGAGGTGGCCCATCTGTTCTTACAGGCCACTGAGATCCGACAGCTGCATGGCCCCGGGTCAAGCCTGCGTTCCTCTACCTACCCAGACCGTAGTGTCCCGTCAAATTACAGGACAAATAGGGTCAATGGCGCTGGAGGTGCCACTCTCTGCCCTTCCAATGTTTACAGCCTGTGTTTACATATCCTCCAGTTATACATTGCTAATCCACACAAGATTAAATCACAGCCAACAATGGTTATAGGGGAGCAAGGTTGTCGCATGTGCAATGTTGTGTTTCATTGTGTATATTGGATATTGTGCAATGATTCATGTCTATTTGATTACTACTTGATTGATTACTGTACTTAAATTTATTTTGGGGGATTTGTACTCAATTATAATTCAAACAGAGTACTTGTACTTATACTTACATATTTAAGAAAAATATATATTTTTACTCCTTACAATTTTTACAATTTTTTGTGATATATCTTGCACATATCAACTATGGTAAACGGACAATCAAACATGCAAAAAACAAACTTAAATACGTTTTTTTTTTTTTGCATAAAATAAAAAAAGTTATAATTATTTTTGGGCAATGTTTTAACTTCAGAAAAAAATGTTTAGTGTAATAACTCTGATTTTCAAATCACAGCAAATTACAAATATTCTTATGTATTATTTAGTGCTGTCAAATAATTTATCACGATTAAACACATCCAAAAGAAAAGTTTGTATTTACACACTGTGTATAAAAACTGTGTATATATAAATAAAACATAGATAAAATAAAAAAATGCAAAAGAAAAGTACTGACACATTTTATAAATAAAAATAAAGACCTTCTCAAATATATATATATATTCTGTCTGGTTCTCGAGTCTGATTGGCTGATATTCTGTAATATCAGCACTTTTACAGCATCTTCACTCTTGTGTATTACTCCGTCCACATAGAGTGACAGCAGATCAATAGACTCAATACAGTTTGATAAATACAGCTTCTTTTTGTATTTCAAACTACAGCTGATCAGATCAAAACAGGTAAGTGACATTCTAGGTTGATCTCTCTCTTTTGTATGTTGCATGTATACCATGTAATCTGTCAGTGTTTGCTTTGCTTTGGCTTTTTAGGGGGTAATTATTGTGTATTGTGGGGTTCATTATTATTGTCTCCCCATTATAACTGAGAAATACTGGAAAATCTCTGTAGACTGATGGCATTTCATGCCGTTCAACTTTAAAATGTGAGCAAAATTACCAGTTTTGTCATCACTTTAGACATTAGTCAAGGGAATAATTCAAACACTAGCTTTAAAGTTACCTGTTTTTAAGCAACTGTTTCTGCTGTTCTGACGTCAGTTTCAGATGTAAATAAATGGCAATAGAAAGTAGTTCCTCATACAAAAGGGTTTTTGACACTACCCGTGTTTGATTCTCATTTTATTTAGACAATTATGCAATCGAACTGTTGTATAAATGCAACATCACACTTGTAGCATATGCATATATATATATATATATATATATATATATATACTGTAAAACATAAGAAAAGAAATATGCACAGTACACATATATTATTTAAATACAAGCTCTTGATTTAGGTGCAAATTATGCCAATCTTTTGACTAGCACTAATATTAATATGTATTATATATTTTATTTTTTCAATTGTCATTTTATAATAATAAAATGTCTTTAAATGACAAAATGTTTATTTTGAAATTGGAAATAAATATTATTAGATGCTCATACAATGAAATAAATATAAACAAAAATTCACTCAAAATCAATACCCAATAAATCCAGATAATTGTAATATTGTGGACGAATTAAAAAGATAAAATCCAGTTGTAATAATAAATATTTGATTGCTTTTTATTGCTGTTTTAATGAGGTGTAAAACATCTTTTATTCCCCATAATCGAACGTTTTTTTTTTCAGTCTGACAAATGACTTTATGCTATTTACTTTCCTTTGCATTATTAGAGGATGATGAAACAAGAATTTCCACTCTTGTTTTTATTGCTGCTAGGCTAATTCTACTTTTGTAATAATTAACTACAACTTAAATGGGTACTTTTTCCTTTCTCTCCAATATACACTCAGCCAGATATTTGTACTTTTAATTGCGTAACTTTTGATATTCTACTCATAATGTTTTTCACTTGAGTATCAATACATTTCACACCCCTAATGCGTTATGTGAGTGTGGTGGAAACTTTATGGCATTGAACAGTTGGTCGTCACTCACCCATAGATGCACGAGATGTCGATAACCACGTCGATCATATCGCAGCACAACTCATAGGTCTGCATGTCCACTGGGCTGCTGTCAGTGGCTATGTAAATCTTACTGACCACATCAAAGAGAAAAGCCTTTTCAATCCCTGAGTTCTGCAATGAGAGCACAGGACAGGGTTAAGGGTCAGCTTTTTATTGTTAAGAAGAACGGCAGCGGAATGGGACATCATATCTAAGAACTCTTTGAAGTGGAAATGAATTATGCAACCAAATAATCAACTGCTTTGCAAGTGCTGTTGTCAGAAAATGCATCTAATTCTATGAAAGCTGTTGAAAAGCCTCTTTTCCTGAGGTAAAATGCGACTTTTTAAGTTAGTAAAACAACACAGTAAAAATGTTTTAAATTGAAGTAAAATACTTTAAATAAATGAAAAAAAAATTGCAGAATAGTTTAAATTATATGATAAAATGAAATATAGACAATATAAAAGGCTTTAGAAATTTTTTTTCCCAGTGGCTTTCCAAGGCTGAAAAAATTGCAACAAATATATACAGTAAAATACAATTATATTATATTATATTATATTATATTATATTATATTATATTATATTATATTATATTATATTATTCATATTCATGCTTAGTCCCTTTAATAATCTGGGGTCGCCACAGCGAAATGAACCACCAACTTATCCAGCACGTTTTTACGCAGCGGATGCCCTCACACACACACTCATACACTACGGACAATGTAGCCTACCCAGTTCAACTTTACTGCATGTCATTGGACTGTGGGGGAAATCGGAGCACCCGGAGGAAACCCACGTGAACGCAAGGAGAACATGCAAACTACACACAGAAATGCCAAACTGACCCAGCCTGGGCTGGAACCTGCAACCTTCTTGCAGTGAGGTAATCATGCTACCCATTGCTCCACCATGACGCCCCTTTCTATTCTATTCTATTCTATTCTATTCTATTCTATTCTATTCTATTCTATTCTATTCTAATAAAAGTATTGTCATAAATTTTACACCATAAAATAACTGTTTAAAACTCTGTTTATTTAAATTTTATAAAAATGTTTTTTAATAATACTAAATAGTATTTTATAACTATATATATATTTTCTTTTTTTTATGATTTTATATCACACAATATAATAGACTAGCATATTTATTCAATAATAAAGAAACATTATATAATATTATACTACATCATGTTATATTCTCTTATTTTAAATTGTACAATATTATAATAACAGTATTATGAAATAATATTATACATTAAAATAACAAATTAAAATAAGGTTCTTTAGTTTTATATTTTATAAAAAGATGCAAAAGTATATAATTAAAAAAAACATAATAGTTTAAATTATATAATAATATAAAATATTTTTATAACTTTTATTTTATAAAATTTTAAATTATTTTATAATTTTATTTAATTCACACAGTATAATAGACTAGAATAATTTCAAAAATCCTAAACCAACATTTTTTATTTCTTTGGCTCTCTAAAGTTAAACAAATTGCGACAAATATACAGTAAAAACAAATTATATTATAATACATTATATCATATTATATTATACTCCGTTATATTATACTATACTATTATATTATTCATTTATTCATTTTCTTTTCGGCTTCCCTTTATTAATCTGGGGTCTCCACAGCGGAATGAACCACCAACTTATGCAGCATATGTTTTAGGCAGCGGATGACCTTCCAGCTCGTACTTCCCACTACTTATATTATATTATATTATATTATATTATATTATATTATATTATATTATATTATATTATATTAAATTATATTATATTATATTTTTATTATATTATATTTAACAATTAATATTTGAATAAAACTCAGTAAAATAATTAAAAAAAACAAAAAAATATTCCTAGCATTATAGGTCTGTCTGCTGTCACTTACAATCAAATGTAAGGCATCTTTAATAATTAAATCATTCATTTCTTATGTTCATACATATGTTTTTATAAATGTTGATTCAAAAGATACCAACGTTTTAACATCCATAAACCAAAATTTGTTAAATCGCCCCTGATTTTTCAATCACATTTGTATATTTACACCACAGGGACAGATCAAGAGCAAGAATCAATCAAATCAGACATAGAATAAAGCATAAAACAAAGACTAATATCACAATGCATAGAATGGCAGATGGTTAAAAGACTTCAATCTCCATAATGCAAAATCAATCAATTATTTCCATACATGTATAGTCTTTTATCTACATCAATTTACACTCTGCTGCCACCAGCTGGCCAATACAAACACTCACATATTTACCACTGATAAACGTAATTGCTTTCATGATCAACATTAAAATAAACCATGCAGGAGCACCATGAAATTCCATTAAGTCTGAGAGGGATCATAATAAATAATAATGTGTTTTGACATCATCACGTCTGTAAGAACATTATTTCCATTATACTTCACTGTAAGCAGCAAATCACAGACCAGTGCTAATGCACCCATGCTAATGGCTTAAAGCAACAGGATATGATGCTTACAGGTTGCAAATTATGCTTTCTGAATGTACATGTATACATGAAAATGACCATTAAAAAATATACAAACACATTATAAATTTCATTTGATTTGTTCTTGCATGATAGTAAAACTTTTGTGCAACTATTACTCTTTAGGGCAGCACAATAGACCCTTTTCATGTTTTCACGTTTCTCAGCAGCGGAAGTCATCATAGTTGGGTAAACTAAGAGTTAAGTGAATGAGAGCTTACAACAAATATTTTTTACAATCCCTTTTGTTGAAATAATAACAGAAATACTCCATGATTGTGTTACCAAGACTTTAAGGAAAAGAATAAAAACAGTGTGAGACTGATAACGGCAGCCAGAAGAAAAAACAACATCAAATTTACTGTCCTGCCAATACATTCTGCATGTCAAATGCCTCATACAAGCGGTAATTCATTTTTATTTTGTAATTTGAGGCAAAGATGATATATTACATCCATAAATAAAATTTTCTAAATAAAAAAAGTAAACTTTTAAGGATTTAAAGATTATGAAGACCGCTAAATGCATCATAACAGTCCACATATCGTTTCAGCATGGATATTGCAATGTGCACATACGCAACAGTTAAATATAAAAGAGTTTAAATATAATGTAGTCAATTTTTTCATTTGTGAAAATAGCATGTTTTGAGGCCTCTAACAGAGCATTTCAAGAGAATTTAAAGCATTTTTATAAATTGAATACATTCATTTTATTGATTTTTTTTTTATATAATGAGGACTATACAGTCAGTACTTTACATTTGATTATTTGACTTCTGTACCTCTGAATACTGCAAACAAACCACAATGACTAATGATAGTTTTTTAGGGATCAGCCATGGCCTTCATGGTTAAAGAGTTGGACTTGAGATCCAAAAGTTCGAGTCCTGGAACCAGCAGGGATTGGTGCATGGGAAGAATAAATAAATATCCACCTCAATACCACAGTGATCACGGTGGTGATTATCTTGAGCAAGGCACTAAACCCCCAACTGCTGGACTGGGATTATTTTATATTTATTCATTCATTCATTCATAAATTCATTTTCGGCTTAGTCCCTTTATTAATTTGGGGTCGCCACAGCGAAATGAACCGCCAACTTTTCCACTATATGTTTTACGCAATGGATGCCCTTCCAGCTGCAACCTATCACTGGGAAACATCCACACACTCATTCAAACACATACACTACAGACAATTTAGCCAACCCAATTCACCTATAGAGCATGTCTTTGGACTTGTTGGGGAAACCAGAGCCCCCAAAGGAAACCCACGCGAAGACGGGGAGAACAAGCAAACTCCACACAGAAATGCCAACTGGCCCAGCTGGAGCTAAAACCAGCGACCTTCTTGCTGTGAGGCGATTATGCAACACACTGCGCCATCGTGTTGCCCTATTTTATATTTAAAGATTTTGGATTTGGAAATTGGATAAAGGAATAGCTCTGGTTCACTGTTTTTCCACTATGATTTGGCAACTCAAACAAGTCACGGTTCGTACCTCTTTCCCTGTTATTTCTTGCTCTTTATTGTTGATTATTGCTAGTGCATTAAAACCCATTACTAGGCCCACATGAAATCTGTGCGCGTGCAAATCCGCAGATTTTTAGTGTATATGTATTTAGTTGCTTGTAAATGAGTGTACATTTTTATTTTTTTAGTTTTTAAATAAATTTTAGCAATATTACTGACTAATATAAAACATGTTCATATTATTTATTTACATTTGTTTATACAGTTTGTAAAGTAATAATTTCTGTCATTAGATATCTTATATGTATTATATGAGAGACTTGCTTTGTTTACAAAATAAATGGATCTAATAGGATTTGCGTTGTAAAAAAGTTCATTTTTATAAATTATTTTTTATTTGACATATTAAGTTTAGGCAACACGGTAGTGCAGTAGGTAGTGCTGTCGCCTTACAGCAAGAAGCTTGGCTGCATCAGTTGGCATTTCTGTGTGAAGCTTGCATGTTCTCCCCATGTTGGTGTGGGTTTCCTCCGGGTGCTCCGTTTTCCCCCACAAGTCCAAAGACATGTGGTACAGGTAAATTGGGTAAGCTAAAATTGTCCTTAGTGTATGTGTGTGAATGAGAGTGCACGTGTGTTTCTCAGAGATGGTTGCAGCTGGAAGGACATCCGCTGCGTAAAACATATGCTGGATAAGTCGTCGGTTCATTTTGCTGTGGCGACCCCAGATTAATAAAAGGGACTAAGCTGAAAAGAAAATGAATGAATGAATTTTACGTTTTTAGTTACGATATATTTATGCATTCCGCATAAATCTGCAGGTTTTTAAAAAATATTCTGCACAGAAATAGCAAAAAATGGCCCTGCCTATTACTAACCACCTGTTTAGTCTGGTTAAGTATAAACTTGATGCAGCTGAGGCTGATGATCCAGGTAAAGGGGAAAGGCTAAAGATATTAGGCAAATTGAGAAGAAGCCAAAGCGTACAGAGGATACCAATGAAGCTTTAAATATTTTGAACAGCTCCAGCCTAAGGAACAACACAGATCTCTGTTTTCACTACCACCATATCAAAGCCCAAAACAAGGCCTTCATAACATCTACTTTAGCAAACACAGAATAATTACAGTAAGAAATGGTTGCCATACTGTGAAGAGACACACTCAATTTTTTCTGGCATTTGCCAAACACTCCGCCAGCCATTAATTAAAGTATAGCTGGGTGTGGGATTTCCCTGCATGAAACTGTGTCCCAATCTGCCCCTGGTGGGCATAACAGAGAACTAACAAATATGAATATACTCACAGATATGAAAATGTTGAGCAGATTCTCAAGGGTGGGAAGTTGAGGGATGAGCTTCTGCACAACTTTACTGAAGGCCTCAAAGATTGAATGATCATAGATGCTCGTCAAGTAGAAGCTGAAAGAAATAACACATTCCTCATCACAAATGCAACATTTGAACAAGTTATAAAAGGCACCTTAAATGACCCTTTTACAAGATGTAAAATAGGTTTCTGAGTTCCCTAGATGCTGTGTGTGAAGTTTCAGCTCAAAATACCGCACAAATAATTTTATCTCTTTGAAACTGCCTCTTTTAGACTTTGATCCAAATTGAGACGCTTTGATGATTTAAACAAAAAAAATCTTTTTAAAAGAGGGTGAAGCTACAAATGCCTATGTGTCAGCATAGTGGCAGATTCAAAACAGGACTAACTTTATCTTTTTAAAAAACTGAAAATGTCAAAATAAGTGGCTCAGAAGAAGACAGTATTTGGAGACTGCGGTGTTCATTGTGCATTCTAGAGCAAAAAAATGAATTGAAAAAAAAAGCGATTTAATATTTAAATAGATTCCCCACCCCCACAAAAAATGCTTGGAGTTGAAGGTTATTACTTTATAAAATCTATATAAACTTAAAAAATTATGATTATAATTTTTTTTTATTATAACAAAATTATAAAAAGCTAAAGAAAAAAAAGCTGTCATATAAAGATCTAGACCTCAAAAATAATTCAAATTAAACCATTTTATACCATTACAGTGAAAGTAAACTACAGAGAACGTAAATCAAAATGATCGTTAAAGTAGGAACCTTTTTCAAGATTCATTCATTCATTCATTCATTCATTCATTCATTCATTCATTCATTCATTTATTTAATCATCTATTTATTTATTTATTTATTTATTAATTAATTTATTTATTTATTTTCAATGAACATGCTTTCTGAGGTTTAATCATTTGTATTTATCGTTGTATCAGATTATATAAAGTACTCACATTAGGCTAGTGGGTTGCATTTTATTGATTTGATTTGCGTGGGGTCGCTGCATCTGGTAGATTAGTCTGGCGCACTGAGCGAGTTTTGTAAGCGTTGATATTTACAGTATTAAATACAGCAATGTTGGATTCCAACATTAGACCCGTAACAGTTCCTTTCATATGGGCTTCTTCTCCATTAATTGTCTAATCCATTAATTCTAATCATGAGAAATACAAGGTGTGGCGCGCAGGTTCAAATGCGTGTCTGACAGTGAATGTGTGACTGAGAGCCATGAATTATGCAATTTTTTGGCAGGTTTGTTTGTGTTTATATGTTCTTTGCCATATCACAGAACGAAAATTTTCTCAGTTCTTTTCAGCTCACTGCTATGTTGTTTGTATGTTTCTATGGCAAATGTGGGGGAATGATGGGAACTCAAAGGGGATCGTCAGGTGTTAGAATGATAAAATCGCCCAGCCCTAGGGCATCCTAAAACGCCACATGTACTATGCCTATTAGTTGCTGACATTAACTTCAGCAGGTACAGTGTGAAAACTCGAATTGTGTTGTTTTGTTTCCGCAGACTGTTTTTATTTATTATAATTAATAGAATTAATTATTTTTACCATTAGAGGCTGGCTATAAACACATACTGTTGCCACACAAATGCGTTTAAACATCTTATAAAAGTAATTTTTGCATAAATCACCACCACACATCTGAGCTGTTCTGACACAAACCTCAAGTGTATTCTTTCTAAACCAGCATCGGCTAGATCATCATTGGCTCTTTTGTGAATGTCCCTCTGCTTCTCAATCTTGTGGTCATCTGACAGGCCATCCACCTTGTGAATGAACACCTCAAAGTTGATGTCCGGATTGACCTTGTAGGCCCTGGTCACTGTAAGGTGAAGCCTACTCAACGCCTCCACATAATCATCCTACACAGGAAGACATTTATGGGTTTTCTGAGGACTTTTCAATGATAGATTTTTGCTTAAAATCTACTGATAGAATGATAGACGGAGCAACATAACCATAGACAGATCTATAAACAAACTATAGACGCACTGACAGAATGAAAGATATAGATAGATCTTTTAAACTACAGATTATAAACAGAAACATATAACAGTAAATTGAACAACAAACAAATTGAAAGAATGATGGAAAGTTTTAAGAATCATAAATAAGACAGTAGAATTTTAAAAAGACCAACACACATAATGATAGAACAATAGCTAAAACAATAGATAAAATGAGAATTATAGAATTACAGGCAGAACAACAGACAGAAAGATAGTGACAGAACTACAGAACAGATAGAACAACAGACAGAATGACAAAACAGAAGAATGATTAATAGACAATAGGACTACAGATAGAAAAATATATGACAGAACAATAGTTAGATAAGTAGAATAGAAATATGTCTGCGCCAATAGCCTAGTAGTTAAGTGCACTGACTTATAGCACCATGGTGTTCACGGCGACGCGAGTTTGATTTCCGGCTCGTGGTCCTTTGCCAACCCTTCCCCTCTCTCTGCTCCCAACTAATTGCTTTCAATTCTCTGCACTATTCTATCCATTAAAGGTTAAAAACCACTAAAAAATAGTTATAAAAAAAGAATAATAGAAGTATATAACAACCCAGCAGGCACAGGACTTCAACATAGAGGGACGTTGCACTATGATTGGAGATGAAAATCGGGTTGATGTCAGCCTGACATTTAGTGGACAAAATGTTGGAAAGACATTGCATTTTGGTTACTTTTCAGCGCAACCTAAAAACAACCAAATATCAATGTCTAATGATGTTACAGCTTAATGTGGTGTAGACGTTACCAGTATGATATCTAGACGTTGGATTTTGGTAGCCATACCTGACAAATAAATGTCAGTATTTGATGTCAATATGACGTAGGTTTAAAATGTTGTAAAATTGTGGTCACTTTCCAACACAACCTAAAATCAACAAAATATCAATGTATTTGATGTCGTTATTGGACATCAAAATAACTTTGTCCTGGCGACCTAAATCTGACCTAATATAAACGTCTTATTATGTCTATATACGTCTACATGTGTGTCTGCTGGGAATACACAGAACTATAAAAAGATAAACATATTGATATTGATAGATAAAATTATTGAACAGACAGAACGATAGAACAGCAGAACGATCAACAGTACAGAAAAAGAGAACTATACATAGAACAATAAAAAGATTGATAAAATAATAGAACTACAGATAGATAGATAGATAGATAGATAGATAGATAGATAGATAGATAGATAGATAGATAGATAGATAGATAGATAGATAGATAGATAGATAGATAGATAGATAGATAGATAGATAGATAGATAGATAGATAGATAGAGCGGGCGGACGGACAGACAGACAGACAGACAGACAGACAGACAGACAGACAGACAGACAGATAGAGCGGGCGGACGGACAGACGGACGGACGGACGGACGGACGGACAGACAGACGGACAGACAAACAGACAGACAGACAGACAGACAGACAGACAGACAGACAGACAGACAGACAGACAGACAGACAGACAGACAGACAGACAGACAGACAGACAGACAGACAGACAGACAGACAGACAGACAGATAGATAGATAGATAGATAGATAGATAGATAGATAGATAGATAGATAGATAGATAGATAGATAGATAGATAGATAGATAGTTTCACCTGAGAGTCTATGACAAAGATGAGAGCCCCTGTGCCACGGAATATCATTTCGTAGTCGAATGTGGGGTCGAAGAAATCAATCTGACCAGGAAAGTCCCAGATCTGGAAGCTGACAAAGGAACTGTTTGAAACGTCCTCTCTGCAAATCTTATTGGTGCTCTCCAGAAACAGAGTCTCATTGGGTGACATCTTGTGGAAAACGACTTTCTGAATGGAAGATTTGCCGCTGCGCCTCAGGCCCATGAGCAGGATCCGCGGTTTCACCTCACTGCTGAACGGGTCACTGAAGCCCAGCACTATATAAAGGCAAAAACACGGAAACAACGCTTCAAAATACATGCAGCAGAAGTAAAAAAATGTAGGCTATATTTGGTTAATAGTAAACCAAAACCAGGGTTCAAATGACACTGCAAGTCATGCAAAGTATTGTTTTATTGAGCATATATGCATTAAAGCACTAGTTCACCCCAAACATTCTGCTATAAATTAAAGTAAGAAAGGTTTCATAAGCACTTTTTAATCAACAGATGCAGTAAGCATTCATTTAACCTGTACACTACTTAGGAACTTGTGACACAGCAGTAAAATGCTATTCTATTCTTGTTTTTGCATTTGTTTAGACTTTATTAATCCCAAACAGAAATCGTCACAACACGTCACAACAGAGCTAACCATACAATAAAAACATCCATACTATAGTTTCAAACAATGGGCAGACACTAGTCCATATCTATATTACTACTGTATATATGACCCATTTTATACACCGTTCAGTTGAGAACATTACATTTACATGAGTCAGAAGCAAAATGTGAAGGTAAGTTCATTTATATTTGTTGCATGACTGAACTGTCATCGATGCAGCCTACAGCAGGAGATTTACTGTCAATAATGATAAATAAAACACAGAATGCCAAATCTCCAAGTATTTAAAGAATGACAGCAGCCAGAATAAATAGACCAATACCTAATATGAAAAACCCTAAAAACTGACACAATCTGTCACTATGGTTACCGGCATCACTCAGGGTTATCATGAGTCAAAGCAGAGAGATGACTTGAGAATTGGTTGTTTATGCATTTGACTTGTGTTTGCGTGCTGCTGTAAATAATCATGAGAATTTCACACTGGGCAGTAAAAACATGACTGTTTATGTTTTTGTGTCATCTGTCAATTTAATATGTTAATAAAAATATACATGAATATATTAAATATCTATCTATCTATCTATCTATCTATCTATCTATCTATCTATCTATCTATCTATCTATCTATCTATCTATCTATCTATCTATCCATCCATCCATCCATCCATCCATCCATCCATCCTTTAGTTTTGTCATAATTTTGTCATAATTGTTTTCCAAGTGCAAAATTAACAAACAAAACACTTTGAATAAGGAAATCAAGTGTAACTATAAATATAACTATGTATATGAATGTATAGGGATAATAGCTTACTTTGTTTCTTACAAAATTGCATAAAGCCTCAAATTCTATCTATTGTTTGATCAATTTGAGATAGAAAAATTAGTGGAATGCTAAGTGTGTATGGAGAATGAAACCTGCAAAAACAATAAATAAATATGCAAATAAATAATTAAAAGAGTAAATAAATCCATAAATCCCTGCATAAACAAAACAATTAATAAATAAATATGCAAATAAATAAATAAATAAATATAAAAATCCACAAATTTCTGTATAAATAAATAAGTAAATAAATAAATAATAGTGCAGGCAGGTAAATAATTAAATAATATACATGAATATTTGTTAAATCTATCTATCTATCTATCTATCTATCTATCTATCTATCTATCTATCTATCTATCTATCTATCTATCTATCTATCTATCTATCTATCTATCTATCTATCTATCTATCTATCTATCTATCTATCTATCTATCTATCTATCTATCTATCTATCTATCTATCTTTACTTACCACTATAATCATGATATTAAATTTTCATACTGTTAAATCTATCTATCTGTCTATCTGTCTGTCTGTCTATCTATCTATCTTTCTGATTCTTTTCTGGCTGTCATATATGTATATTTACCAGGTGATTAGTAACCACAGGTAACCAGAGAGATGTAACATTGTGCCCTTGAGAGCAACATGTCCTGCGGTAACAGACTACAACAGAACACAATAGCACCTGCTTAACATGCTGTCCCCAGCCAGCAAATGTTATTTAACACTTTAGTCAGAAGGTGTGCGGAACATTTGGACAAAAAAGTTCCGATATTAAATGGAATTCCATCTCTGAAGTGAAAAGTATCGTATTAAAAAAATAACAAATGCAAATGAAATGAAAGCACATCTAATTTTTTTATAGAAGAAATCATAATAGAACTGCATGTGTGCTATTCAAAACAGAAAAACTCTGATGTTTACAGAAAATAATTCCAAGCAGCTGTAATGTCCTGACACATAGCTGAAAATGTCACTTAACCCTTTAACTACCTGCTCTACCAAATGTTATTTATATATATATATATATATATATACTTTGACTGTTTTAAATAATGGTTTATACACAGCATTGTTGGTTTACAAAAGTAATCAAACAAACATAATTCTGTTGCACTCATACACTTGATTTTGGTTACAATGTAAAAGAAAACAACAAGAAAACATGTTAAATGAGAATATAAGGGATACTTCAAAAAATAAAGATGATTTAGTATTCAAAAATGTTTTATTTTGAATATTATTAAATAAATTGGTTGTACACTACATATTTTCAGATTTTTCATGGCATATGTATTAATTCCAGTACTTTTACTATAAACCAACATACAGTTGTAATCAGAATTATTAAACCACCTTTGAGTTTTTTTTTTTTATATATATTTCCCAAGTGATGTATGTCTGATCAAGTGATGTATGTCTGATATTTTTTTGTCTTCTGGAAAAAGTTTTGTTTTAGTTAGCTAGAATAAAAGCAGTTTTTAATTTTTTTTTTTAATTATTTCAAGGTCAAAATTATTAGCTTCTTTAAGCGATATATATTTTTTGATTGTCTATAGAACAAACCATCGTTATAACCCTATCGTTGCCTTATAACCCTATCTTGCCTAGTTAACTTAATTAACTTAGTTAAGCCTTTAAATTTCACTTTAAGCTGTATAGAAGTGTCTTGAAAAAATATCTAGTAAAATATTTACTGTCATCATGGTAAAAATAAAATAAATAAGTTATTAGAAATTAGTTATTAAAACTATTATGTACTATAACTAATGCATTGAGTGTGTTATCTTTCGTCACAAGGAGATAAGAAATGCAATCTAAAAGGGTTAAGGACAACAGAAATAAGGCAACTGTATAGCTTTAGGTAACCTGTGTGAAAATTTTGACATTAAAAGTCGTATAGCCAGGTTTTAGGATAACTAACATGTTTATTTAGTTTCAAAATAGCCTACTGTACACAACATTTTACCTGTTTCAGGGTTTACAGTGATTTGGAAAAGTCAAGGTCCTGAAACTGCACAAATATCGGTTATAACAACGCTATCTCATAGCAACTCATAACTTTTTGATTTAGTTGCTAATTCGTATAAATTCGTACAATTTCATTCATACAATTTAGTATGATTTGCTTATCCCCCAATGATGGTTGGATTTAGTGCCATGCCTCCTTTTAAAATCGTACATTTTTGTAAGACTGAACTTGAATTAGCCACTAAACTGACAAAACGTAAAATACTTAGGTTGCCTCGTGAGCTCACGTTGGTTATACCGTTGCTGTGGTATACAGCATGTACATTTATTCATTTTTCCTTCAGCTTTGTTCCTTATTTATCAGGGGTCGCCACAGCGGAATGAACCGCCAACTATTCCAGCATATGTTTTATGCAGCAGATGCCCTTCCAGCTGCAACCCAGTACTGGGAAACACCCATACACTCTCGCATTCACACACACATTCATACACTACAGCCAATTTTGCTTACCCAATTTATTTTATACCGCATGTCTTTGGACTGTGGGGGAGCACCCGGAGAAAACTTGCGCGAACATGGAGAGAACATAAAACTCCACACAGAAACGCCAACTGGTCCAGCCAGGACTCAAACCAGCGACCTTCTTGCTGTGAGGCGAGAGTGCTAACCACTGAGCAACCGTGCAGTCCCTTTTATGTGTTTTTTTAATGACTATTTTATTTCGTTTTTAGAGCAACAGTAGCAGAAAAATTCTCCAGCAGAAAAGGACCCTAATAAACCAAAATCTTTATTACCAAAAGAAACCAAAAGTTTGGTTTCTTTATAACCAAAGAAAAGAAAGATTTCATGTTGAAAAGAAATCTGTTTTCGAAACTAATAAAGATAGCAGAAGTCAATGATTGATTTGAATTGTTTAGCCTGACGTGTTTACTACTACAAAATAGTTAAAATGTTTCTTTTTAGTAAAATATAATGTATTTAAATGAGAAAAAAGTTGTTTTTTTCAACAGAGATTTAAAAAGAACATATTATAGAGCAGTAATCACGATACCCTGATATTGACAGTGGTATTTTTATCCAAGGTTATCATACCATCAGAATCTTATAAGCCAAGCCTAGGTTCGCATAGGTGCAAACAACTCCATCTAAAACAGGCCCTACACACTCTGCCACAAACTAATAAATGAGCTATTGAGACAAGAGTTTGTGAACTGACACACAATGGCTGGTAGAAAGAGTGAAGTTGTGGGCACAGCCTACACTGGCAATCCTCTCCTTCATATCACATGCTGCAGCTGATTTGACGACTGTGACCTTGCTGGCTCTCAGCTGAGGAATGTCAACCGCATTTGGTGAGACTGAGAGATACTTCTAGTCTCAGAATACAGCCTCAAGAATCCGGCGGTGTTTATAGAAGTGTCTAACTAATTGGGACCCTGCATGATATGAATGTGTAGTGTGCATGTTAAACTGCTAAACAATTAATGAAAAAAAAATTGTCATTGCAGTGGATAATCAACGTTTGCATCTAAAGTAAATGTACAAACAATGGACTAAGTTGTAAGTAAAAATCTGTAAGTGAAATCTAAATGCTTTCCAATAAGGGGGAAAGAAAAACTGAAGGTCAGAGAGTCATGCTGATCAAAATGCATACATAAAATTACACAATAGAGTCTTTAAATAAAATCATGAGAGCGAAAATATGCACTCATTTCTAAGTCTCTTGTAATAGGCCTATGTTGCTACTTTCAAGTAACTTAAGTTACCTTTCTTCATGGTCATGGTGACTAATGTAAAGTCCCCATAAGGGAGTTTTGCTAGTAACAAGACCAGTATTATAAAATCCATTATAAACACTTGGCTGACCACAGCTTTCAGTACCTCCATTACATTTATCAGTGGTAGTCTATTTGGAAAACATAATAAACAATATAAAAATTTTACTAAACCCATTTATTTATAGCAAGAGTGATTAATATCAGGTTACCGCTTATTAATAAATCGATCCTCCAAAATGTTTACCAAACAAAGTTTCCCAACACCTTGAGCCTATAGGTTAGGCCTATTTGTTTTACACCTTATTGACGATATCAAAACCAAATAAAGTGGGTGTCAAAAAGTGTATGCATACAGAAAGTTTATATTTTAGTTTACGTATAGATTAATTTATGACACTTTAAGTAATGTTAAATAAGGCTACCAGCATTGCTGTACAATTAACTGTGTTTTAATAGGGGAATGGGATTTATTGTGTGACATGGGCTATAATTAGCTATATTTTGCGCCCTATTACAAACATATCCATAAATTGTAATTTATGACTGGTAAATTAAAGCTCCAACCTCCTCCATCGCAGCTGCAGTCTCCGTCCCCGTCAGTGAACGCATCGAAGTCGTCATCGTCGTCGTAATAATCGAAAGACAGCGCTTCGTTTTCTCCGTCTACTTCATTGTTTTTCCGTGCGCTTGTCATTCTCCGAGTTTGAGAAATTTAATCTGAGGAGGCAGCCAAACTTTTCCACATTGTCATCCGATACGGTCAAGCCATGGTGAACTTTCACCTCCTCCCCCTCTTTCGCTCACAGCGGGTGCCTGTGCGCGGTATCACGGCTGACCGCGGCTGTTCATCAGCGGCCCCGCTGGAAGAAAAGCCGCGGCGCGGGACAAACTTTCTGACAGGAGACCGGCTGATATGGGACGCCTCCCTTCCCCAAACAAACAGGCTGTGCATGGACTCCTAGCACTCTGTGGATCTCGGGAGATGTAGTCTTTTACGGGATAAATTTAGAAAATTAATTTAGTAACCTTACTATTACCCTTTTTTGTGTGCATAATCTATTACATGTATGTAGTCGGCTGTTAATTTTAAATATCCTTATTTTATTAGGCTACAAAATATATATTTATTTTTAAAATTGAAAGGCCATCTCTTATTAACAAAATATTATTAATATCTAATACAATTTTGCTATTCTTATGGTATGCATATTAATCAAACAGACCTAAATGTTTTTCTTATTTAACTTATTAATATCATTAATATACTTGTTAATATATAAAATAATTTTGTTTCATACTTCTGGCACTAATTTTTATTAGCCTATAATTAAGTATTTGTATTAGTTTGTTTAATTAATGATAGACATTTACTTAGAAACGGACAAAAATTAAATAATCGAATTTTATTAATAAATAAATAATTATAATTGATGTTGTTTTATTATTATCATAAATATGAAGATATAGCTTTAACATTTAATTAAATCTGCTTATTAACATTAATAATTTTATTTAGACTTCTTTAAAAACTTTAATTAACAAAATATTAACATTAGACATGCTTCATATTATTCTTATCATCTATTTATAAGTTTAATGCCGTTCGACTAGTTGGATCCGCTGGATGGCGCTGTAAATGCTTTGATGTGGCACTGAATTATATTAATGGAGCAGATTAATGCACGTCTATGAGTCTCATTCCTTTGTTTGCAGCTGAAAAATTATCATTTGAATTCTCTAGTTTATCTCTCTCTCTCTTCAAGAATAAGTAAGTCAAGTTTATGTCTTGTACATACTCTGTGCAGATGATTTCAGGCATAGAAGGGAATTTTCAATGCATATTCCCTAACATGGGATTAAAGACAATACATCAGAAAACTGCACACTCTTGATTCCTCAGATTTATAACCAGCAATATAAACTTCAAAAGATGAATTGAGTCTCTTTTTGCAGCTATAAAAAATGCTTAAAACTGTAGTTAAAAAAATGTTATACAATAATCAAATATAACCCCTATTAACCCCTATGTACTGTTGGGAATGTTTTCATCCACTCTGGGGTGATTTTTTAGTCTTAATTTGGCCATAACTGGTGTTTCAGCTAGCAGAATGATTTTGGTGACATGTTATTTAGAAACAAATGTTAGGAAAATAAAAAAAACTCAACGATACACTCTGGACAAATTTACTACCCTGTTGTTATGCTTGGGAAGAAAACATCCACTGAATTAAACTGCTGTAAACATGCATCAGATTAAATTGTTATTATTATTATTATTATTATTAATATTATTATTATTATTATTATTATTATTATTATTATTATTATTATTATTTCCATAAATCTGTTAATCAACTTCAGTCCTGATCAAATTGATTAAATTGCTTAGAATATTACAGGATTTTAACTCTTTAATTGCCAAATTCATAAATACAGTTGCTGATTTGTTGAAAAAAAAACACACAAAATGCCATGTATTTAATATAACAAATTATTGTGGACTTGATTTTTTTAACCTTTTATCAAAGTCCTAGACATGTGAAACAACATTGCCTTTAATGCATTGTTTTTGATAGATTTTTTCTCTCCTTACTTTACTGTTAGCTGTTATTTGCCACATTGACTTCCATTATAACCACATTTTTTTTTACAAAACCATGACACCATATAATCATGCATTTTTGATTGTTGGTAGTTTTCCCTGTCGGGAAGGGGCACAATTTGTTAGTTTTACTGTTGATCGTCTGTTGGCACCATTAACCCTTTAGATAGGCCTGTGCAAAAAAAAAAAAAAAAAAAAAAAAAGCTGAAAAAAAGCTGTGTCTGGATTTTATATGGAGTATAACAGCAAATTAAAGTGTGTGTGCGTGTGTGTGTCTGAGTGTGTGAAATTGACATTTATGCACTTAACTTAATGTGTCTGAGAAAATCAAAAGATGTATCCCAGCTCTCAGAACTACATGGAGTAAACAAAAACAAAGACTGTGAATTATGAACCATCAAATATGGTTTTAATGGAAGTTAATGGTGCAAAAACAGCCACCAACAGTAAATTAGAGAAAAAATGAAAATCTAACAATGCATCAAAGCCAATGCTTACTAAACATTCAAATGCAAGACTGATAAAAGGGAAAAAATATCCAGTCCACAATTACTTTTTATGTTGAAAATACGTCATTTTGTGTGTTTTTCATCAATTCAGTGACATCACTTGTGAATTTAGCAATTAAAGAGTTAAAATCCTGTAATTTTCTAAGCAATATAGTAGTTTGAATAAATGCAAAAAATTATGATTTTAAAACAGTATAATTCAGTAGATGCAAATTTGAAGAGTGCACAAAAGTTAATAATAATAATAATAAATAAAACTGCGAGCTAGAATAACAGGTATTTTTGTGCAATGTTCAAGAAACTGATGTAGATGCGGAAATATTCTGTACAGTGAATCCAGACTATTGTGTTCCCTGAGGATTTGACCTACTGCAGTTCCACTGATTCTGTACCCACAAAGCCAACATACCGCCAGCTGATGCTAGTAATTTCCTCTGGGACAGTTGACAGGCAGATGAGAGTGGTGTAGGTGGTGCAGTACAGATGTTTAGTGCTGTATGTATATGAACTCTGCCCTTTTTCCAGTCCAAACCACAGAATCTCTGAAAAAGTTATGCCTTTTATTATTATTATCATCCAGTCATCTTTGTTTACCTTTAGTATAGTTGATATTTTAATATTACATTCAAACAATCTGTTATTACAGTTCATATATTCAAAAGCATAATCACTGTTTTCAAGCAACTTAAATTTGAATGAAACATAATATCTAATCACTATACAGCACACTTATTAATAAATTCATCATAAATGTTTAATCACACTTTTCACCCAAACACATTAGTTATTGAAAAACTCAAACATATTTTTGGAATCTTAAACAGTGTAAGAAAATTGTAAAATAATGTATCAGTTTATTCGAAAGTTTTTTCTCTCTTTTTTTCAGACTGGTTTTTACATTTAAAAATATACAGTAATATGTGACCCTGGACCACAAAACTAATAATGCAGTAAGTGTCAATTCATTTTAAATTTAGATTTCTAAATAAGCTTTTTATTCACGTAATTGCTGAGAGCCTCAGCCATCAGCACCAGCAAGTATCACCATGCTCTAAAAAGGCAGTCCACTTCTTTAAAGGGTCACGAAACAGCAAAACACATTTTTGAGATGTTGACAGTCATATATGTGTCCCACATTGCTAAAAACACTATAAGGACTATTTCACAAAAAAATAGAAAATTGTTTTTTGCGTTGTTTTAAGCTAATTTATTCCTCTGGTTTGAAAAGAAATTTTGAAGCTGCGTCACGGCGATGAAATCCTTGGGTAAATTCCAGCGTGGAGATTGGCTCTCTGTACCGGACAGTACACAGTGACGTCTTTGAGCTTTCAGCATTAATTCATGAGGAAGACTTGGTTTGAGCCAATTAGCGCACTATTGTGAACCACATGCAACTTCATTAATATACATGATATAGCAACTTTTAAAAAGTTTTAAAAAGTGACTTTTATTATAATTATTGAAATGTCAATAATTGTCACTGTTATACTGTAGAGTTTTATTACAGTTAGAGTTTTATACTTTTAGAGTTTTTAGAGTGGATAGAACAGAGACATACATGTAAATTGCAATTATAAATATACGGAAAACACTTAAAATATGGAAACTGTAAATTACAGATATTTTTACAGTGTACTTGAACATCTGGTATCTGAGGCTTCAAAATATCAAATTATTGAGAAAATCACCTTTAAAGTTTCCAAACAAATTCATTATTAAAAAATAAGCTTCAATATATTTACAATTAGAATTTACAAAATATCTTCATGGAACATGACCTTAGCTTATTCTAATGATTTTTGCAATGAAATAAAATGAGATTTTTTAACCTATGAGTACAATGCATATACACTCACCGCCCACTTTATTAGGTCTAATACCGGGTTGGACCCCCTTTTTGCCTTCAGAATTGCCTTAACCCTTTGTGGCATAGATTCAACAAGGTACTGGAAATAGATCAGAGATCCTCAGAGATTTCAGTCCATATTGACATGATAGCATCAAGCAGCTGCACATCCATGATGCAAATCTCTCGTTACTCAACATCCCAAAGGTGCTCTATTGGATTGAGATCTGGTGACTGTTGGGGCCATTTGAGTACAGTGAACTCATTGTCATGTCTAAAAAAAAAACAGTCTAAGATGATTCGTGCTTTATGACATGGCGCTTTACCTTGCTGGAAATAGCCATCAGAAGATCAGCAATAATACTCAGGAAGGCTGTGGCATTGACGTGATGCTCAAATGGTACCAATGGGCCCAAAGTGTGCCAAGAAAATATCCCCCACACCATTACACCACCACCTCAAGCATCAACAAGGCATTTGTGCTCACAGAACTGCCTCTCACTGAATATTTTCTCTTTGTCTCACCATTCTCTGTAAACCCTAGAGATGATTGTGAGTGAAAATCCCAGTAGATCAGCAGTTTCTAAAACACTCAGACCAGCCCATCTAGCAAAAACAACCATGCCACATTCAAAGTTACTTAAATCACCTTTCTTCCCCATTCTAATGCTCGGTTTGAAGAGCAGCAGATCGTCTTGACCATGTCTACATGCCTAAATGCATTGAGTTGCCACCACGTGATTGGCTGATTAGACATTTGTGTTAACAAGCAGTTGGACAGGTGTAACTAATAAAGTGGCCGGTGAGTGTAAGATTCTAAATATACTGTATGTATCCTACACTATATTGCACTGATTGGTCATTTAGTAAAAGCAAATACACATTTACCACAGACTACATGCTGCTGTTGACAGCCAAGTAAAGCATAATTTCAAGAAATCTGAATATGCTACATTTTGTTTTACT